TTTGAGTTTGAAATTTTGAGATTTTGTAACTACCGGCGACAAATAGGATAATCGTATCGTTACACGAAGAATTGTCTATTTAGTTAGACGCGTTATCAGTCAAGATCAGAGGTCCAAAAAACTTTTTCGGGTTTAACATTGATTTATTAATATGTAATTTGGTAACTAAAATTTTAAAATTGGAGACCAAATACTCAAATTTGGGATAATGTGTATGTTTTTACTTACATTCAAATCCACTTAACGTTAGGATGATGAGAATCCTATATCACAATTGTGTTAATTATGCAATTTTCCCTTTTAGTGAATTATTTGTCACAAGTATAAGATAGAACCAATAGTATTTAAAGTGATAAATGCATGCATCAAACATAACAAATCAGGCTTAACAACTAGCTTGATCGTCAAGAGGCTAGGCTCTAAAGGCTTATTGTCATATATACCCAAACTTATTGATATTATTTACTCGACAGTATTAACAGTGTGAGACGAGAATGGATCAATACTCAAATTACGGAGGTCAACAGGAATCTTCTACGGGCTACAATTACCCGTCATGTAGGTTTATTAGTTAGAAGAATGCATGTATACTTTTCGGAAATTGATTTAAAATTGGGTCAAAAGAAATAAATGAAAGCACCCAAATACCTATTAACAATTCTGGTCAAATCCAAAAGTTGGCACAAGATTGAATTGTGATGTGTGTGCCAACGATCCTAATAACTTCAAAAAAGTATACAGCGATCTCTATCATCATGATAGATGTAAAAGCATTTGAACTGTTTTTATCGTTACTATATATCACATAATGCCAACTGCTCTTCAATCAAAAAAAAAATGTATATATACATATATATACACATATATATAGATAACGAAGCCTATAGTCAAAGTGGATATACTGCACCAACAAATACATCAGAATATTATTATGGGAATAGTAATACTCCAGCTGGAGGTAACGGAAACGGTAGCAGTGGTACAAATCCTCAACCAACGGCACCTCCGTCGGCATCATCGCAGGGATATACTTCTCGCGATGGTTATGAAGTAAGCGGATACTCCTCTGGTTATGAGTACGGAAATTATCCTACACCTGCAACTTCAGGGAACTATCAAGCAGGTCCAGGCTCATCAGGTGGTTCTACAACTCAACCATACAATTCAAGTGGTGGTTATAACAGTGGAACAAATAAAACGGGCTATTCAGATCGAGATAACGATTATGGCGAAGGTCCCGGTTATGGCGGCAATAAAAATCCTTATGGTGATAATTATGGTGGTAACTACAAATCTCGTGAAAATAAACGAGAAGGTGGTTATGGTCCATCATCCAATGATGGTGCTTCATACGATAATTACGGAAACCATCCTGAAGGTACATATAAGAACTAATTATCATTTTGTTTTATAGCTTTACTTTTTAAATATAATTAATTTATTCAAAATTTTCCAATAATTTCCGTAGACGGTTCAGTAGTTCAAAAAAGTACCGATACTGTTTATATTTCAAATTTAAGCAAGGAGGTTACTGAAGAGAAATTGGCTGATTATTTCGGTGGTCTTGGAATGCTAAAAATTGATAAGAAGACACAAAAGCCAAAGAGTAAGCTATACAAAGAAAAACTTTTTGTTTTTCAAATTTAAGTTGATATCTTAAAAAGCATATGTTATAATTCGTTTTATACATAATAGTATGGATTTATTACGACAAAGCATCTGGTCTTCCTAAAGGGGATGGTAAGCAAGTGATTATGAACTTAAATATGTTATGTTTTTGATAATCATATAAATTGATTAAATTTTACACAACGAAAATTAGCCACTTTGACGTATGAAGATCCGGACTCGACTGCAGCAGCAATAAAATATTTTGATAATCAACCATTCCTTGGTCAGGTATAAATTATTCGATTTAAATGTATAATTATAAATTCACGAACGTTAATTAAAATTTTATATGATGTGATTAAGGTTATAAAAGTCGAAATGTCGGTACGTAAAATCGCCTCCACAGGTGGTGGTTTTAGAGGTCGTAGTAGAGGTAGAGGACGCGGTGGATTTTCAGGTGGCAGAGGTGGTCGTGGAGGTCCACCTCCACGAGAAGGTGATTGGGTGTGCAGCTCGTATGTTTAAAAGTTTTACGTTTTCTATCATTATTATATCTTCTGCATATGTTATTGTATAACAACTAATTTACATTTTACTTCAATCCAGTTGTAACGCTAATAATTTCGCTAGAAGAATGGAGTGTTATAAATGTCATTCACCTCGTGCTGGTGCCCCTGGAGATAGTGGCGGCTATGGCGGTCGATATTCTGGATCACAAAGAGGTGGGTATAGGGGTCGTCGTGGTGGTGGTTCTTCATATGGAGGTAGATATGGAGATGATGATAGAAGCTATGGAGGTGGTGGTTATCGTAACAATGATAATGGGTATGGTTATGATCAAGGATATGGAAGGCAAAGTAAACAGGACGAACGGCCAGAACGTAGGGATAATTCTAGATATCGTCCTTATTAAGGGGTTCTTGGAGAAGGTTATAAGGGAACTAGCTTTTACGTCCTCATATTTGTATGCATGTTTTTTTTCTTGTGCGAGTCGCTTTATTGTTCATTACTTGCACATCTGGTTTTGGCATTTAAATCGTTGGGATATCTATAATATAAAATTTCAGAAGATCGACCCATCCACGTGTTTAGAATCACACGATCATGGTACTAATCTATAATACACGTCAAGTCATCCAACATGCATGCGTCACGTGATTGATATATTAAGGGAGTAACATATATTACGTCATTAGGGTTAAATCTACGGAAAGTCATGATTGGCCAATTTTAGTTCATGTCGTTTAAGAGGTGAGAGTTGGAGTATTTCCTTCTCTCCCTTCTATAATACGTTATATATGTCACTTTTCTTTCTATTCATTTAACTTAAGTCACGTGGTTTGGCGACTTTTGCACAAGAACGTAGGGATTTTGCGTAAATTGTTTTCAGAAAAAATTTTAAAATGAAATACGTATCTAATATAAAAATTTAATAATTTAAAATAAAATATAAATGCTTATATAAAAATATTTTTATCGTATACATTATACGTAGCGGTATAGTGTTACGTATATAAATTATTATTTTAATTTTTTTTTTTTTACAAAAATAAGAGGTTTATTAGAGTTAGATTAGTGTTAAATTATATAGTATATTTTTATTAAAATTTTTGCAAAAAAAAATACCAAATTTTTAAAAATCAATTTTAAAACAACAGTTATTTTTATTTTTATTATATAAAATAGTTTTTTTAAAAAAAATATAGCTTTTTTAAGTTTAATTTTTATCAAATTTATAAATTAAAAGTGTTTTTAGAAGCTTTTAACAATATTATATTTTGATAAATATTTAGTATAGCTAATTACTATATATACTATATATAATTTTAGCTATTGTTATCTAAAAGTTTTATTAAATTTATTTTTATGAAAATTTCTTAAATTACACTATGTGTATCTTACACATATTATTTATTTGAAAATTTCTAAATAAACAAACAAATTTTTATTAAAAAAAATTAAATTTTTTTTCAATCATCAATACACAAATTTTTACAGAAAAACAAAAACACAAAATCAACAGAACTCAAAAACAGCACTAAGAAGCAAAGCTTATACGACTAAGTAAAAAGAAGAAAGACATAAAACAACATTCTGTCTCTTAGAAAACTAGAATTGAGAAGTCAAAACCTATCGAGATATAGAAGTGTTACAGTACCGTGGCCTTCTTAACAGCAGTACTATAACAATGACACGGCTACAGGGATCCTTTACAGGTTTAT